GGGTGGCGTGTGTGTTTCTTGGCCTTTTCTTCACTTCCTTTTTCTTCGCCACCATCACTCTCATCCTCGCTGCTGCTCGCGTCGTGAGTGCCTCAGTCAACCTTATCCTCTCATCTGCTCATCCACGTATCCTCGTATCCTCTTACCCTCTTCTTCAATTCCTTTTTCTTCGCCACTACCACCCTCCCTCGCTGCTGCTCGTGTGGTGAGTTCTGCTGCTGCTGCTGCTGCTCGCATGGGGGATGCGTGGTGTTTGCTACTGCATGTGGTGGGTGCGGCTGTGCTCTCATCTCATCCTCTCACCCGCCACTCATCTTTACTTTCCTTCTTCTTTGCCACTATCACCCTCACCCTCGCTGCTGTTTGTGTGGTGAATGTTTATTGATTTTTTAGTCGACTCAAAAGTCACATCCTCAGGATTCTGTTGCATCACTTATACCTCCGCATCACCCTTCACTCATCCCCACCTCTCCTCACCTCTTTTTCACCTCCCCCGCCTAACCCCGTCCCCCCTCCCCTTCCCCCTCCCTCCCCCACCCCACCCCCTTTCCCATGCGCTCATCTCATGGACTCCCCTCCCTTCCTCCCCCTCCCTTCATCTCCCTCTTGTTTCAAGGGCTACGCCTTTGCTCATGACCGGCCCTTCAACGCCCACAACAAGGTGCCAGTCAACGCCAACGCGAGCACCAGCGCCACTGCCATCGCCTGCCTCCTCTTCTCCCCATTCCCCTTCCCCCATTCCCCTTCCCCCAATCCCCTCCCCCCCCTCCCCCTTTCCCCCTTTCCCTACAGGGCTATGCGTTGTCCCGAATTTTTAGTCGACTCAAAAATCTATGCGTTGTGCCGTGATCACAGCCTTCCTTTCTCCTTCCTCTGGTGCCAGGTCAATGCCTCCAAGGTGCCAGTCAACACCATTGCATGCACCAGCGCCATCACTCATCTTCCTCCCCCTTCTCCCCATTGCCTCAACCCCCACCCCCCACCAGGGATACGCCTTGTCTCGTGATCATGGGTTACCGCTCTCCTTTCTCTGGCGCCAGGTCAACGCCCACAAAGTGCCAGTCAACGCCATCGCATGCACCAGCGCCATAGCCATCATTTTCCTCATTCCCCTGCTGGGGGGCTCCGTCGCCTACTTCGCTGTCACTGGCATGGCCACTGTGGGGTGGTTCGGTGCGTACGGCGTTCCGATCTTCTTCCGAATCATCCAATCAGACAGGGACTTTTCCCCTGGGCCCTTCTATCTGCCCAACTACATCGGCCACTTTGGCGGGTAAGCCATTTCCCTTGAGGGTTCCGTCTGTCGCCTACTTTGCCGTCACTGGGATGGCCACTGTGGGGTGGTTCGGCGCGTATGGCGATCCGATCTTCTTCCGGATCATCCAGTCCGACAAGGACTTCTCTCCTGGGCCTTTCTATCTTCCGAACTTCATCGGCCACTTCGGCGGGTAAGCAAGGGGGAGGGAAGAGGGGAAGGAGAAAGGGGGGGGAAGGGCAGAAGCGGGAGAAAGGGGCTTCTGCTGATGCTGTTGGGTGTTTCAAGAGGAGGCCATCACCTGCCTCGCCTCCCCCTCCTTGCATTCACCTGGTGTCAAGATTACGGTATGAAATCTATGGTGTAGAAGGTTATGGTATAACAGGGTATGGCTTAATCTGGAAGGATACTGTATAGACGTAAACTATGCTCCCCTTGTCCCCCTCCCCCCCCTTCCCCTTTCCCCCTGCCCACCCCACCCTCCCCAAGCCCCCTCTTACATCCCTTTGCTTATCCCCTGTGTTGTCTCGTGCCCCACCCTTTCCCCCTTACCAGCAAGTGTGTCCACGTCCTTGCTCTTACATACGTCGTCTACACCATGGTCGTCTTCGTTATTCCAACGGAGTACCCTGTAACTGCGGAGAATTTCAACTACGCCTCTGTGGGCATTGTTGTTGTCATGGCAATATTCCTTCTATGGTGGGTGCTGGATGCTCATCGGTGGTTCAAGGGCCCAAAGATTGCGAAGCAAGAAGACGAGGGTGCAAGAGCACCGGAGCAACAAGAGAACTACCAGGTGGGTCGTTGGTTCCAATAGATGTGCGTCGAGTTAGACTAAGGGATAAGGCAATAAAGGTAGTTCTAAATTATTTGGTACAACGAAATTATGTGGTTGGTAGATTCCGTTGTGTAAACAAAGAAATTATGTAGAAGATAGCCACTTGAAGTGAAGTTAGAAGCACATCCTTTAGTCTAAGAGGGCCTTCAGCCTAGATATAATCTTGGGATGTTATAGCTAATTCTTGCTGCCAATCACTTTCAGTGAAAAAATATTCTGAACTTTCATATCCGTGATAGCCCAGTCCAATGAATTTTCCTGAACGGAATCTGGAACTACCAACAATTCCCTCCACACAGTTGATTCCCCGTCGACGTGTCGTGGTGTCAATGGCTGCCTGCGCACGGAAGTCCTGGAAAGCCACGTCTGCGTTCTTGCGGCTCTTGACCACACATAGGATTGACATGAAGCGCGTCATCACAGCACGATGCATACGCAGCATTGACCACATGACACTATCCACCTGCCTGTCTGGGGAAACTGAGGGCACAGCGCGCAGCATTTGCCAATGTTTTGTCATGCCACATGTACACCCAGTTTCGTCCGCACATCACCAGACGCACATGATTGGCTGTCAGTTCCCACCCCTTTTGACTCCTCCTGTGAACCGTGCCACGTCATTATTTTCGCTTTAGTTTGTTCGCCCTGCTCACGCGTGTGTTCGCCTGAGCCATCATCCATCACACAAGCTCCGCCAATACCCCTCACGTGCGGTCCGCTCACATCACATCCCTCGTTGGTGTTCATGCCTCATATCACATCTTTTCCGTCCATTACGATCCCAGCGAATCTCCAGTACCTCTTGCGTAATCTCCACCCTCCGTTCAGTTCAGTACTTATAGGCAGCAGTATATTCCCAATTGAACACCACCTGACATCCTCTCGAGGACAACGAACCACCGCCATATTGCCTGCTTAGGGCGTGTCCAGCAGGTACGTTTACAGTACACGGATCACGGTTCAGTAGGATATATCGCGATGAGGAGCGGTGTGCACGCTTCACCACGTTGGAACTCTGCAAACCATATTGAACCGTATAAAGTGAATTGTAAACGCACGCCCTTACCTTTCGAGTATCGAACTTTCTAGAATCTAGATTCTCTTGAGGCTGCATCACCCACCACATCACTCTGACTACGTCTGCCTGAAAGGGTAGAAAGCATCGAGCAGTCACACACTTCGACCACCGAAGCATCGAGCTCAACTCCCCCTTCTCCATCTGCGTCTGCCGGAAAGGGTAGAAAGCTCCCGTCTCGCAGTTCTTGATTATTCAAGAAGAAGAACGCGAGGAGAGGCAAACTGCTTCCTGTACTCCGCGCTTTACGGTCCATCGTCGGAACGTAACAGGTTGCAGCAATCCAAGGCTCCTGTGTTTCTCGGCGAGGCTCGTTTTTCGTGCCGAGGGTTGAGCACCCTTCAGTTTGCACCTTGGACCCTGGGCGCTGACAACCCTGTTCTATACCCGCGACAGAAACTGACTGTGATCAGCTTCTCGCATCTTTCGCATCTGTCGTCCGGCGATTCGCGTTCCGCTCCTCGCGGAAGCCGTTCGTTGCAGTGCGTGTTCCTAAAGTCCCCCGCCTGAGCTGCCGCGACAGTACTAGCCATGGCGGCAGGCGCAGCTAGAGTTGCCTTGCAGGCTCCTTTGACAGCACAACTCCCCCCGTTACTGTCACCCAGCTCAGCACAGACCCTCCCTAATGTCACGTGCATCAGATTGCCGCATAGAACGGGCTATCGCCACCAACGATGTATCCCAGCCAGGCAAGGACTTCCGTCGCTAGGTCAGAGCAATCCAGTGCGGTACAGCTCAGTTCGGTGCTCTCTTCAAACGGAACGGAAACGGCACGAATCTGACAGACTCTGGAGCGCTCCTAACGGAGTCAAACACAGTAAATCCCCCCATGGCGGTCCCGACCTAGAGGAGAACCATCCGTCTTTTCCGCTCGATGCGGTTCTCGAGGCTCATCAAAACGCGACTCCCCACCGATTACATTCCGATTCCTCCCGTCAAGAAGCCGACGCGAACTCCTCTCCCGAATCCTCGCTGACTCTAGTCCCCCACTCTCATCCTGCTGACGTGGCGATTGAGAAGCCATCCGACGTGGCAGCTGACGTGGAACCCGAATCTAACGGCGAGTTGCTGAGCAACGAAGCGGCCGTAGGCGGGTCGCTGGCCGCGGGAGCGCTGATCATAAGCGTCGTCGCGTCGCTCGCGCTCCTAGGGTACATGTATAAGGACGAACTCTCCGGCGCGATCGACTTCTTTACCACGTACATTGAAGGAGCGGGATCCGCGGGCTATGTGGTGTTCGTTATGGGATACGCGCTATTGGAGGTGCTGGCGGTGCCGGCCATTCCGTTGACGCTGTCCGCTGGAGTGATTTTTGGCCCGGTTATGGGGACGTTCCTCTGCAGTCTCTCAGGCACGGTACGTAATAATAACGGGGATCAATGGTTGGGGATTGTGGTATAACTGTTTGTGATGGTAACGGGGGGATGTGTTGCACAGAATGTGATGGTGCTCGTTTTAGGATACGCGCCTCTGGATGTGCTAGCTGTGCCGGCCTATTTTTTAGGCGCCTCAAAAATAGACTCCTCACGCATGGTTTTAGGATACGCGCCTCTGGATGTGCTAGCTGCGCGGGCTATTCCGCTCGCGCTGTGTGCTCCCCTGCTCCCCTCCCCCTCCAGATATCCGCCACGATAGCCTTCCTGATCGCGCGGTACGTGGCGCGCGATCGCATTCTGGGCATGGTGCGGGGCAACAAGAAGTACGAGGCGATCGACCGAAGGATCCCTCTCCTCCTTCCCACTCTCCCCCTCTCTCATCCCGCTACCCTTCCGCACACAGATCTCCGCCACAATAGCGTTCCTCATCGCGCGGTATGTCGCCAGAGATCGCATTCTGGGCATGGTGCGCGGCAACAAGAAGTACGAGGCGATCGACCGCGCAGTGGGGGACAACTCGTTCCGCATCGTGACGCTGCTGCGCCTGAGCCCCCTCATGCCGTTTTCCTTGGGGAACTACTTCTACGGGCTCACTTCCGTGAAGCTGCTGCCATATGTCGCTGGGACGTAAGTTGTGCTGTACTTTGTTTAGGTTTACCCATTCCATGTTCATAGACTAACAGTTGTTCCCATGTTGACGCTGCTGCGACTGAGCCCCCTCATTCCGTCTTCTGTTGAGAAGACGGCATGAAGCTGCTGCCATTTGTCGCTGGGACGTGAGTCGTCCTGTAGATTGTTCAAGGTTTTCGCAGCAAGCTGCTGCAACATCGTCACGCTGCTGCCCCTCGGGTCCCTTCATGCTGTTTTTCCATTGGGAACTCTTCTTGTAAGTATTTTTTCTCACAAGGTTATGTCTCCTTCGCGGTTCCCTCTTGCCACGTGGCAGGTGGATTGGCATGCTGCCTGGCACGTGGGCATACGTCAGCGCTGGAGCCTTTGGCCGATCCCTTTTGGTACGCCTCTCCCTGGGTTCGAAAGTCACTCATCATGGTCGTTTTCTTTGGGTTTTTAAGATCCAACTTTGGGTTGGCAAACTTGTTTTTGAGCTGATAATTAGCATAGACTCTACTCTACCTTCACTGCCGTTGGTCTCCTTCCCCGCCTCCCCCCTTCCCCCCACCCGCAACCCCCTCTGTTTCACGTTTCCAGGAGGCGGAGAATGGAAGCTCGTTGCTGGGGGACTCGTCCTTGTATTCACTGCTTGGAGGGGTGGCCCTCACGGCCTTTGCTGCAACTTACATCACCAAGATTGTGCAGGTTAGTGTTTTGTCACTTAATCACCAATGTCATGCAAGTAAGTGTTTTGCCACTTCCATCACAAAAACGCAAGTGTTTTGTTCTGTACATCACGTAAACGCAAGTGGTTTGTCACTTACACCACGAAAGTGCAAGTAAGTATTTCGTCACTTGTATTACAAAAGCGCGAGTGTGTGTTTCGTCGCTTACACCACCAAAGTCATGCGTGTAAGTGTTGGGTTAGGAGTTGCTGCCACACGCTATTTTCTCCTTTCCTCGTCGGATACCTGCAAGCTATTGTCTGTGATCATTACAATCACAAACTCCACTTGTCAGTTCACTCTACTTTACTCACCATAGTCACTTCACACTCACCCAGTCCTCTCGTTAGCTGCAGTGTGCATGCCATAGCCTTGCAGTTCACTGTACTGTTTTCACCATTCTCACACAGAAGCCTCTCGCTAGCTGCACTCTACCCACTGTACTCACATGTCTCTTGCATTGCCCTCCCCCTCTCCCTCCCCCTTTCTCCCTCCCTACCCCCCTCTCTTCTCCTCTCTTCTCCTCTCTCTCTCCCTGGACTTACCCAGGATGCCGTGAAGGAAGCAGAATAGGGCTGACAAAGACACTGTTGATGTGCATACACGAAGTGGTTGGAACTGAGCAAATATTGTGGGGGTAACTAGGGGGAAAGTGGGACAAAACGTGAAATGTTGGGTGTGCCTTTGACGCATGCGACATTCCTAGTACAGCAGCGGTTACGGCATGTACTTACCGTACGTAACAAGGGTGCATGAGATGCACGTATGCATGCTTTTGAGAGTGTATGTGTGTGTTGATATTGAGACTATTCAAAGCTGCTTTTTGAGATGTACAAGAGCAGCAGGCACTGAGGAACTAAGTGGCACGGGTGGGCACGGGTATGAACTGTACAAACAGGTGGGACTACAATAGACCGCTGCAGAAACCGCCCCCTTCCACTAGCCCTGCAGCACTAATAGCCGGGGTAAAATGTTTTGGCTACCCTGATTTTAATAGCTATTTTTTATTGTAGTTTCAATAAACGTGAATTGTTGTACACCTATAGTACAGCTATTCAGCATATTTATTAGATTGTAAAAGAGGTGTACTTCCCTATACTTATTATGCGTGGACCCGGGTGCGCCTGGCTGGCTAGCTGGATGAGGTCGACGTGGCCAGGTGATTTTGCGATGCTCATATACGGTTCGATTGATGGGCAGTTCCTCATTCTTCACCGTCAATAAGCCCCATATGGTTGCCAGCTAGTTTGCGAAGTACCGACGATGACCAGGAGGATTCGGACGACGTTCGCCACAGAACCAGATCGTTTCGCTTGCTCACTCATTCACCACACCACAGTCCCCATGAGGTAGGCCAAGGGCAGCAAGTGGCTCTGTGATGCCCGCGGTGCGAGAGTGGATGTGTGAGAGGATGCACGAGGGGTGCGCGCGGGCAGGGCGGGGGAGGTGGACTCGAGAAATTTGGGGGAGGTGGGGAAAAAGTGGGGGGAATTCTCCACCCCCATCCCCCCCCCGCCCCGCCTCACACCCGCAAAGTTTGCGCTTCTCATCTGCGCCTCGGTTCGGCGCCACTATTGTACTCCTAGTTAGCGCCAGCCGAGATAGTCTCAATAGGCTGCAACTAGGCAGGAGAGGTTCCGCCTGGAAGCACGGGCGCAGAAGTTTGCCGCTGAAGTTTGGCGCGGGAGCTTAGTTTGCTAAAGCTCGCAGCTAGGCTGGCTGATTCTGCGCGTCCTCAGGCAGGCGCGTGCCTCTTAGCGGCGCAAAGGCAATCAGCGTCAATATGCACGACTCGCTAATACGAGTGCGCATCGGAAGCAACGATACACGTCATTGGCGGCGACGCAAGCAAAGGGGCGAAATCTCCCGCACAATTTCAACATTGCCTAGTGCTAGGTTGCGATACTTCCCAAAGAGACCCGCCAGCCAAACCCTAATACAGCCTTCCCTCAGCGGCTTGCGTCGCGCGGAGGCGGCTTTTTCTGGTTTTCGTAAATCAGTACCTGGTCGCATACGTTCTGGTCGCATACGTTCTGGTCGCATACGTTCTGGTCAGACGTCCTTCGTTTCGCCTAAGCGAGTCTAAGACATGGACAGTACCCTCAGCTTGTAATATTGAGCAAGCTCCCTCCGGCATAGTCCAGCCATTGCCGTGCATACCCTGGCCATAGTAGAAGGATCTTTTTGAATTCGGCGGTTGACAATCCCCCAAGATCCCCAAATATCCCGCAAGATCCCGCAAGATCCCGCAAGCTGACGTTGGAACCACTTGTACGGAAAGTAGTAGTTTCCCCTCCGTAACGCGTCGTCCGATGGCGAATCGTTCATGTCACGCCGCTGCCCAGTCACGCCGGGGCAGCATAGCTTGCATGCTTGCGTTGCTTATCCTCGCTACAAGCGTCTTCGGACAGGAAGGTGAGAGAGCAGTGGTCGCAGCTTCAACCTCGGCGACGTACTATGACAATATACGCCTACTGTCGCACAATGCCTGTGCCCTGTGGTCGTCAGCTGTGCCTCAAAGCTTATAAACGCCTCCTCCTGACTCGATGCATGCGTCTCGTTTTTGCAGCTGAGCAATCAGGGATCGTCTTGGAGCCCCAGCAGCCATCGCAAGAGGACCCCTCCTGGAATCCGGAAGCCTCTCAGCCGCCCACACCTGGAAATCCACCTGAGACTCCGACAGAAACAACACCTGAAACGGCACCTGAAATGGCACCTGAGACGGCACCCGAATCCGCACCTGGGCCGATTCCTGAAACGCCAGGAGACTCCTCCAATGTACCGACCTTCAATTCAACGGAAAAACCGCCGGAAATTCCGCTGCTGGATCCCCCGTCGACAAAGGCAATCCCCTCCCCCGCATCTGACGTGTACATCGTCCGCCTCCGCGCCGCCCCGCCAATCGCGGGATACACCGGCGGAATCAACGGTATTCCCGCCACGGCAGCAGAAGCTGTCAGAGATTCAATATCTGACGTCATCAACTCTGTGGCTGGCCCGGATTCGGCAGGGGGCGTCGCAGGGCGAATCGCCAATCGTCGCGACTGAACCTGGGGTCGCCAGCCGTCGCTCGGTTCAAAGCAGTGGTTGGATCAGCTGCAGGAACCGAGTTGCGAATGATGTTCGCCTGCCGCGCGCGAATGTACTGTACAAGTGAGTTGTAACGAAGTAATTGTTGATTTGTAAATTTATTGTGCCTCCTTTTTTAATACTCTGTTCTTCCTACTTGGTTACCCCCCACCTTTTGAACCTACCCGCTCAATACCCTTTCCCGCCACTACCTCCACCCCCCTTTCTCCCCTCCAATCCAGATTCAAACACGTCAGCAATGCCTTCGTGGCGCGTTTGACACCTAAGCAGCTGCAGCAGCTGAAGCGGCACCCAGCAGTGGCCGAAATCAAACCCAACTACCAAATCAGCAAGCTCACCACAGACTCGGCAAACTTTTTGGCCCTGCCCGAACCCTCTGGTCTGCCCGGGGCCGCGACCGGGCGGGAGAGGGCGTGGTGGTGGGAATTGTCGACACGGGTATTTGGCCGGAACACCCGTCATTTTCCTCAAATGTGACTGTAACATACCCTAACCCTCCGCCCACGTGGAAAGGCGCATGTCAGGCGACAGCCGATTTTAAGTGCAACCGGAAGGTCATCGGAGCAAAGTTTTTCAACGCCGGGTTCCGGACGTGGTTCGGGCAGGAAAACTTGCGGGCTGATTGGGCGTCGGCTCGTGATGCGGACGACACGGGTCCTGGTGTGCAGCGTAAGTGATCGACGCTCTCTCTCTCTCCCCTCTCCCTTTCCCCCCCTCCCTTCTCCTCCTCCCCCCCCCCTCCCGGCTCTCTTGTCTCTCCCTTTCCATCCCCAAGGACTTGTGTCTATTGTACCGTGTCTTGAAAGGTAAATGTCGGCACCCCCACCTCCCCTCCGATCTGCAGAGCGGCAGCTCGCAACACGGAAAGCAAACCCGCTATCCTTGTGTTTCCACGCTCGTGCTCCCATCTCCCGTCCTCCCAATCTGCAGAGCAGCAGCAGGCAACAGCAACGTGCCCATGGTACTGCCTCCCAGGAAAACAACCGTGGGCAACGCAACAGGCATGGCGCCCCGAGCCTTCCTCGCCGCCTACAAGGTCTTCTGGGGCAACGCCAACTCAGGCGGGACCACTGCCACGTATGCTGACGTGGAGGCAGCTGTCAACGCCGCTGTCGCTGATGGCGTCGACGTCATCTCTCTCTCCCTGGGTGGCGCCGATCCCAGTGCCACTTATTTTAGTGACCTGCCCTATTTATACGCGAATCTGGCCGGCACAGTGGTGGTGTATGCGGCGGGGAACTCCGGCCCGCCGCCTTACAGCTCGTCATTGTATCGGAGCATCTCGAACTTCTCGCCGTTCTACCTGACTGTTGGCGCCAGGTGAGCTCTCAGGTGGTTTTCTGTTGGCGTCCGGTGAGCCATTCGAGTCTTCTTGAAAGGCCTTCATATAGCTCGTCATTGTATCGGAGCGTCTCCAACTGCTCACTGCTGCTCTTCCTCACTGTTGGCGCCTGGTGAGCCCTCAGGTGGTTTTGCTGTTGGCGCCAGAATAAGTTTTAGTTAGTGTTGTGTTGGCCCTCCCTCTTCTCCTCCCGTCTCCTCCTTTTCTCGTCCATGCAGCACCATCGCCCTCTGTCACCACCCAACACCCAACACCCCCTCACCCGTCCCCAACCCCCCTTCCCTTCGTTCCCGTCCTCACAGCACCATCGCCCGCCGTCACGTGTCGTCAGCCACCCTTGGGAACGGCCGGGTCATCACGCTCTACAGCTTTGGCTCCCACCACCCAACACCTTCTCACCCCTTCCCCGCCCCCCCTTCCCCCCTTTCCTCCCCTCTCCGCCCCCCTTTCCCCCTTTTCCTCCCCTCTCCGCCCCCCTTTCTCGTCCTCACAGCACCATAGCGCGCCGTTATGTGTCTTCAGCCACTCTGGGCGACGGCCGGGTCGTCACGCTCTACGGCTTTGGCTCGGGAAACGTGGCGGTGCAGAGGCTGGGGTTGGTGGACGGGATCATGGTGCGGGCCGCAGGGAAGAGCGAAACCGAGGTGAGTTGCTGCTTTGAAGGCTAGTTGAACGCAACAGAGATCGGTGGTAAAAATTGTCTCTCTGCTCCTATGGGTGGACCAGCATGACCAGCAAGGCGGCCGAAGTGGTGAGCAAAGGCGGCAGGGCTGTCATTGTGGTGGCTGTGCCGGCAGCAGCCCAGCCGTACCCAGTATTTGATGCCCCGATTCCAATCATCCTTCTCCTCCTGCCTCTCCCCCCTCACCTTTGTCATCATCCAGGGCCAGTACTGCTTTGAGGGTTCACTCAACGCCACCAAGATTGCTAACAAGATCGTCCTCTGCTCGTACGGGTGGACCAGCACCTCCAGCAAGGTGGCCGAGGTGGGCGAGTAAAGGCGGCAAAGGCGGTCATCGTGGTGGACGTGCCAGCAGCAGCCCGGCCGTACCCGATCTATGAGAGCCGGCTGCCGGTGATGGGAGCAGAGGCGGCTGAAACGAGCATCCTTCGAATGTATACCCGCGTCATGGTCAGGTGAGCAACAAGCACGGCTTGTTTGTTATTGCATTAGACGTGCCAATGGCAGCCCGGCCGTACCCGATCAATGAGATGCGGCTGCCGGTGATGGGAGCAGAGACGGCTGAGACGAGCATCGTTCGAATGTATACCCGCATCATGGTCAGGTGAGCAACAAGCACGGCTGTTTGTTATTGCACTAGATGTGCCAGTGGCAACCCGGCCGTACCCGACTTATGAGAGCCGGCTGCCAGTTATGGGAGCTGAGGCGGCTGAAACGAGTATTCT